ATCTGGCTGCTGTGCTCGACTTCTTTCTGCTGCAGCCGTTAGAGTTGAACCCTTTGTGTCTCTCTGGCAAGATGTTCTGTTCCTGAATCAGCTGGGTGGGTCTTTCCTCTAGCCTCTTTGCAGAGAGTTCTGCTGAAGGGTTCCGTGTTGGGCCTGCATGCAGCCTGGGTCAAATGAGGATCCCCGGGCCCCGGGTCATCTCACTCACTCGCCAGGCCTGCACTCTGGGTCTCTTCAGGATCCAGAGAGCCCCGGGTCGTCTCACTCACTCACCAGGCCTGCGCTGTGGGTCTGTTCAGGATCCCGCGGCCGAGGTCGTCTCTAAATAATTAATTTTTAAAAAATTTAGTACCTAGCTATGAAAAAACTCATTTTGATTATGATTTGAGGAGGCCTTTGTAGTGGCACATGCCTTTAATCCCAGTACTTGGGAGGCTGAGACAGGAGGATTACCACAAGTTCCAGGACAGCCTGAGTGACACAGTGAGTTTAAGGGCAGTCTGAACTACAAAGTGAGACTTGTCCCAAAAAACAAAAAAATAACAAGTTATTATTATGAAATATAATTATTGTTATAGTAATAGATTTGAGAACAACTTGAAGGTAATCATGTAAATGAGAAAAAGAAATGTGCCATAGGCATTCTTGTGTAAGACTAAGAAAACAGCCACTGAAACTCACTTATTTGTAGGGGAAAAGGGACAACTTTTTTTTTTTTTTTCATATTTAATACAGAGACTTAGTACAAAGATCGGGGTCCTAGTGATACTCCTGTTTCCAGCCTCCCAAGTGCTGGGATTACAGGTGCGTGCCACCACACCCAGTCTCATTCACTATCTTAGGGCACCGCAGGGATGGGGCCAGCACGGCATGCCAGGCATGGAACCCCAGATCTTGTGTCTGCCTAAGCAGGCGCTTTAATCCACTGAGCTACCTGGCCGGCCCATCAGAACATTTTAATGTTTTCTCTTATTCATCATCTTGAAAGGACCAAATAAAATTTTTGAATTTAAAAAATTTCCTTATGTTAACAGAAATATGGCCAGCCTATTCAAGTGCGATACATGGAACATGAAGAGAGACCAAAAGCTTTGAACGACTTGGGAAAAAAGATTCAACTTGTGATGAAAGTGATAGAAGCATACAGAAACAAGGTATTGGATAGAGCCAACTGGTGACGCTGACGTGTGTGTTGTACTTGAAAAAAGCTAGGCCTCTCTAGAAGTACTCAGCTATAGTGCTTAGCAGTTGCTATCAATTTCAAGACTTTTTGTACCAAACTTAAAACTTTTTTTTAACTGAAGAAGTATCGGGGCTGGGGAGATGGCTCAGTAGAATAAGTGCTTCCCTGGCAAACTCAAGAGCCTGAGTTCAATCCCCGGTTCCACAAAAAAAAAGTATCATTAAAGGGTTGCTATATTTCAAATCAGTGGGTTATCTTCTAAAATTTCTTGCAACCACTAAATAAATTAATCCAGTGACAAAATTAATGTCATAATTATTTTTACTTATTCATTTTTGTGGGTTTTTTTAATTTTTACTTATTTATTTTTGCAGTACTGGGGACTGAACTCAGGACCCTGTGCTTGCCAGGCAGGCGCTTATTGTACTGAGCTGTCTCCCCAGTCCCTGAAAGTTGAGAAGGACTTTTTTTTTTGGCTGGCTGGCTCAGACTGCCTTAAGGGCCAGTCTGGGGATCTAACCTTAGTATCCTGTGCCACACTGCATTTGCATAAGCAGGTGTTTAAACAACTGAGCTAACCCTCAGGCCCCCACATTTTTTGTGTTTTGTATAGTAAAATGGCATCTTTTTTTATCAGCTTCTTGGAGATTAAACTCTGCTAGACTTTGTTACTCAGTTGCTTTTTCTTTAAATTGGTCTTGTTCTTCTAGTCCATTGCTCATCTATAATCTCCTGTATTTTATATACATGTTTAAGTATCTAAGTCTTTGCTACTTTAATTTCTGCTTTTTTTTTTTTTTTTTTTTTTTTTTTTTTGTACCAGAAATTAAACTGAGGACCTTGTGCTTGCCAGGCAGGAGCCGTGCCACTGAGCTATATCCCTGGCCCTTTCTCGTTTTTTTAAAGCCTCAAAAATGTAGTTATATAGATCACATAAACATTTGGCTGTAACAGTAAAATTTAGGAATAAATAAGTATATTGTGTACACAGGGGATTAAGAGACTTTTTCCTTAAAAAGACAAATATAAATATTTTATGTTTTGCAATAGCAAGTTTGTAAGCTATTTATCTTGGCTACTGAAATGCTCTAGCAGCCATAAAACTTTATTAAAAAGATAGCCATTTGAATTTGGCCCATGGACAATTTATTGATTTTATTCTAAATATTCAGTGTTACCCCCAGGTTTTGTCATTGCTTTTAAAATGACATCATTGTGTATCTGGAAATGGGTTATCTCATGTTAAATCTCACAAGGATCTACCCCCTCAAAAGAAGTTAATGCTTTTGCCTTCAGTTCCATATAAGGGAATGTTTAAGGAGTTGGTTGAGGATTATGTAGATAGTAAATTATGGGAGTTAGTATTCAAACATTTTCATACAAATTCTCAGCATCTATATTACCTTCCCAACTATATAGAGTAAAAAGAGATTATGTCTTTGAGAAATAAGAGGTTTCTAGGCTTGTAACATAAAATTATATCCAGCCAAGCTAAGGAAAAAATTCTCTACAGTGAATAACATATCTAAGTTGGAAAAATTTCAAATGCAGTATAATTATTGTTACCTACTACCTACTGGGCTTTAGCATCCTTCTAGAATGTGAGTGTTGGGCCGGGGAGATGGCTCAGTGGACTAAGTGCTTCCCTGGCAAGCACAAAGGCCTGAGTTCAATCCCTGGTTCCGCAAAAAGAAAAGAAAGGAAAAAAAAAAAAAAAAAAAAGTAGAATGTGAGTGTGTAGGTTTAATATACTATCCAAAGCTAGACAAGACGGTACTTACATTCAAGAATTTGAATTTTTATTAATGTGCCAGGCTGTGTTTTGGGTTCTAGGATTACAGCAAACAAAATACTGAACATGTTTCTCATGCCTCATTGGAAAAATGTAGAAAATAAAGTTACCACAAGTATGTTAGATGTCAATAAAGGGCTGTGGAGAAAGTAAGAGAGCGGCAGAAAGGGGTAGAATAGATTTGTTAGGCAGATCAGAAGACATGTCAAAAGAAAACTGGAGTTGATGGCTAAAGATATATCTAGAAGAGAAATATTCTATAAAAAGAGAATTCCAGTTGCTATACCCCCAAAGAAGAACATGGAGAAATAGCAACAGTGGAGGTAAAGAGTAGCAGTTGCCAAATTATGGAAGGCCTAACTGTCCATTATATATGTTTGTTATTGTTCATGGTCAGAGTTTGGGTTACCAGGCATGGTGGTGGCACTCTCCTGTAATTCTAGCACTCAGATGCCTGAGGCAGAAGGATCAGTGTGAGTTCCAGCACAGCCTGGGCTACAATACTGGATTCAAGGACAGCCTGAATTACATATAGCAAGACCCTGTCTCCAAAAAGACATTGAGTTTTACCTTTAAATTGGAAGCTATTAGGAGATTTTACAACATAAAATTATATGCTTTGACTTTGTTTTAAAGGATCTAGACATAGACTAAAGACATGGTTGGAATAATATAAGAAAGGCATTATGAAGGCATGAGATTGGATTTTTGAGGTGCAGGGGATGGTTAAATTGTGCATTTTGAATCTAAAAATTAACAAGATTGGCTGATAGGTATAATATAAGCACAATAGAAAGAGAAGTGAAAAATGATTTTAGAGGGGCTGGGGAGATGGCTCAGTGGAATAAACGCTTCTCTGACAAGCACAAGGGCCTGAGTTCAATCCCCAGTTCCGCAAAAAAAAAAAAAAAAAAAAAAAAAAAAATGACTTTAGAGATTTTGATGTGAACGAATAAAGGTTCCATAAACTGAGAAGAGGAAAATTCAGAGAAGTAGGTGGCAATGTAATCAGGAGTTTGAAACACAAATAACATTTTGAACTTTACAAATAAAAAGTGTGTAGTTGGCTCACACTAGACATTTTTTAAAAGTGTATAGCTGGAGAGATAAATGAGGAGCTAGCAAAGAAAACTTAAGTGATCTACAAAACAGAAAGAAATTCAAGAAATGTAGCAACCTTACAAATTAAGGTAAAGATGGTGGATATACAGCTTATAATCATAGGAGCAGAAAAGGGATTTGCATGTCTGAGGAAGTTTATGATTAAAAACATTGCATTCACATCTTCACATTTCTTTTGACTGTGGAGTTATCTGTTCATTCTGTTTTCTTTTATTTTCTGTGTCCCATGTATAATCTACCAAGGAAATCCTCTTGCTATATATTACACTGCCATTTCTATCTGGTTCTGTGATAAACCAATCTAAACCATGATTACTTAAGTTGTCTCTAGTTTGGCAGCTGGAATTTTCTTTTTCATACAGAGTTTATTATATCATTCTACTTAACAGGAATTTAAAATATTGTAGTATATATTCAGAGTTTTCTGTCTACTTTGTTATATGCCTATTTGCCTGTTTTCTCTTTATATTTTTTGTGGGTTGGGTTGGGTTGGGTTGGGTTGGGTACCAGAAATCAAACTCAGAACCAAATGCTTGCCAGACAGGCACTGTGCCACTGGGCCAATCCCTGGCCCAGTTTCTCTGTACACTCTTAACACATTTCACTCCACTATATAGCTGCTTTCCCAGTAAATATTCACTATTAATCATTCTTTTTCATAAAGCCTTTCCTTTTTAAACACACTGATTTTATTTTGTCTTTTAGTCACAGGTTTTATCTTTGTATTTTGCTTCTTCATATGAGTATGTGTTAGGTATGCATTCAGTAACATCTTTAAAGCAGAAATTATCAGAAAACTAGTGCTCACCAACTCAGTCACATTAAGTAAAACTTAATTTTAACAGGATGAAAGATACGATCATTTGGATCCTGCTGAAGTAGAAAAAGTTGAAAAATTTATCAGTGATGCCATGAGTTGGCTGAACAGCAAGATGAATGCACAGAACAAATTAAGTCTCACTCAAGATCCTGTGGTAAGAGTGGCAGAAATAGTTGCAAAGTCAAAGGTAAGAAACTAAGTGAGTTTAAGGATTTAAATTTTTTAATGGAAGTCATACTCAATAATAAAATTGTAGGACTTAGAAAAACAAATTTAAGACAAAACTTTTGCTAAATTTTTTTTAAAAGATTCTAGATGTGGACTATGTTCATTTTTAAAGTTTGTCACACAAGGTTGGTTTTTACATTTTGACTTTTGACTGTTGAATATATTTCAAATTTCCAGATTCAGTGAGACATCTGAAGTCTTCTTTATAGGATAGATCTGTTTTTTTTTTAAAAATCTAGTTTGAAATATATTAACTTTGGTAGTAAAATTTCATTTTTTAATAAGTTTATCTAAGCTGAGATAAACTTTCCAATTGAGGAGCCATGTCAAAAGATGTCATGGAAAACACCTTGAGAAACATGGTGAAAAAACTTCATAAAGAGATTAGTATCTAAATAGAAAAATTAGTAAAGACACTGGATTAGTAATTAAAAAAAGGAAAAATAAATACATGGAAAAGTGCTCTCCTATATCACTGACCTAAAAAATCAGTCTCTGTGGATGTAGAGACATGGATGCTACCTCGGCATGGTGGTACATGCCTATAATCCCAGCACTCAGGAGGCTGAGGCACAGGATCACCACCAGTTCAAGGCCAGCCTGGGCTACATTATGAGTTCAAGCCTACATAGCAAGACCCTGTCTCAAAAAAAAGAAAGAAAGAAAATAAAAAGAAGAGAAAGAAATGGATGCTATCCCCTGAGCACTTTGGTTAAATCTGTTACAACTTTGTTGAAATAGAATATATATACAATTTAAAGTGAATACACCCTTTAACTCAATTCACAATTCTAGGAATTACCACATAAATTCATGAATGTATATAATATGATGTAGCCATTAAATACAGTATCTTAGATATAAAGATATGTACAACATACTGCTGAGTAAGAAAGATTAAAATTATCTTATACTATTTATAAATTTGTGTTCATATTTTTATGCATGTATATATGAACATACATCTGAATGGCCACCAAAATGTTAATCTGTAGATGTACTTCAAGATAATTTTTACTTTGTTCAGTAGTTTTGAATTAGATTTTTTTAATTTTAGAATCAGTTAAATAAAAGTACTTTTATTCTGTGAAAGTTTTGCAAAGAAGTTTGTGGTAGGTATTTTTCTAATCAGGGAAGAAGGCAAGTCCAACTAGAGCATTTTATCTAATACATTCTCCTCTCTCTTCATCCTCATCCCAATCTGTCTGAAACTGGTTTCAAATTTTTTTTTAATTTGGTTAATTTATATAGCAGTGTTTCTCTGTAAAAACCAAGGAAATAGAAAATACCTAATATTCCATTTAAATTGATTGATTTTATTTTCCCTTTAGCAGAACTGAAAGGAAATGGTATCAACAACTAAAGTTAGCATGTATATTTACATGGTTTATTAAAATTATTTTCATATAAATGTTGAGAAATTTCAGTTCCAATGTTGAGTAATTCAAATAGGTGTTATGTGACATACTTCCCATAATTTTCAAATCATTTGGCATAATTTCAAGAAAAAACTAAAAATTAAGTGCGTGCCTATAATCTCAACACTCAGGAGACTGAGGCAGGAGGTTTGCTTCAAGTTCACAGCAAGCCTAGGCTACAAAATGAGCTCAAGGCCAGCCTAAACTGCAGAGTGAAATCCTGTCTCAAAAAGGCCAAAAAAAAAAAAAAAAAGTAAACTTGAGACATTAAGTGGATGCACATAGAGCCCTTACAGACACATTTATATAAATACCACTTTATTTCTCTGGTAGGAGAAACTAAAAGTGTAAATAAGGACCAAAATATATAATAGATACTATGAAATAGGAAGAAAACATTCATGGTAAAGGGCACAAGGGAAGTGGAGGGAGAAAGGCAGTAAGAAGAAAAAAGCAAGAAAAGGAAAACAATGTTTTTGTAAAGACGGGATGGAAGGAGAATGCAAAAAACAAAATAAGGTATATCATGGATGGTATATCAAGTTCTATATGATGAATGTGATCATTATTGTATATCTGAACTGTACCAATAAACAATGATAAGAAAATTATGAATAAACAAGTTTTAAGATTAGATACAAAAGAATGTTAAACACTGAATAGTTCCTAATTGCCACAAACATGTACTAACGGAAGATAAATCTATGAACCATTTAAGAAACTGTTATGTAGCTGAGTTAACATAAGAATGGGTAATTCTCTGGAAGTTTAGAAAATGAATGTAGATCTTTAAAAGTGGATATTATCTTACTCATGTCTGTAGGAATTGGATGATTTCTGTAACCCCATCATTTACAAGCCCAAGCCAAAAATAGAAGCTGCTGAAGATAAGACAAAAGCTAACAGTGAACACAATGGACCAATGGATGGACAGAGTGGGCCGGAAACCAAGCCAGATGTAAAAGACAGCTCACAGCATACGAAATCTTCAGGAGAGATGGAAGTGGACTAAGTTTTAATTTTATCTTTATATAATTCAAACGCTGCAAGTAACCCCAAGGTCCATTCATCTTTTACATCTGGTACACACAACAGATATTCAGTTCCAAACTACTTTTTGTCATTTGTTTTTAGAGTAGTTTTGAAGTGTTCTATGAGTGCACCTCTGTTCATTTCCATTGCTGCTTTTGTGAAGCTTTGAATGCAAATTTACAGAATGCAGATTTACACATCAGTTTAAGCTTTCCTGATAACTATTTCATATCAGACATGCAAGATTTAGTATGTAATTGGCAACAGTCTACCTTATTTAAAGCTCCTACCTTGGATAAATCCCCAGTTTCTTTATTCAAGAAAGGAAACTATTGCACTATTGTTACAGACAGATAGACTTAATCACATTGTTATTTTGAAAAACAAAATTGATGTGGTTTAAAGCCACTGAGGCACTGACCTTTTTCTAGATTGTATTAGTTTAAATATTAAATGAGAGGTCATTCAACAAATTAGTCTATCTCATTGATGTATCATGAGAACTTCCGTTTTGTAGTCATCGAAGAAATGAACCAAATCCCATGTGGAAAAGAGAAAATGCACAATTTTATGTTAAGGTGACACCAGCAATTTACTTCTTTTATTAGTATTGCAAATGGATGTTTTCTCAGAGTAACTCTTATCTTTTTCATCTGAAACTTTTAAATTACTTGTGAAGGCCAGTTGCTGTTAAAATAATGGTAGCCTATACGTTCATGTTATAGGGAAAATGCTATAGACCACAACAGATACATCTGATGTTGCTAGCCTTGTTAAAGTTTTTAATGGTTGTGTTGGTTTTCTTAGTTGATTTTGTTAATAATACTTTAACACAGAATAGGGAGAAATGGCACACTGCATTGCATTATATATACTGATTTACTGTTAAAGTATAAACACTATTAAATAAGCAGTAATACTTGAAAAGGAGCACTTATACTTACAAGTCTTAGGAAGTAATGCTTGTAATAAACTTAACTATGTTATATATCAATAGGCAAATGTAATATGATATGATGTGATTAAATTGTAGTCCTGCTGTTAAATTACCTTTTGAAACCTTGGCTCCAGTTTTGGTGGGAAGAAGGGACAGTGCACTTAGTGTTAAGTATTTCCTGTATGCTTCATCACCAGCCTTGTTTACATCTCTCAGTTCTACCCAGAGGCTTGCAGCTGTTTTCCCATGGTTAAAGATGTAAGTTTAACCTATGAGGGGAAGAAGCATAGACAAATGTATGGGCCTTTGTGTTCCTAGTCATGAGACTGACGGGTTAAGATTCTGAAAGGCTCACTTTTTCCCCAAAACTAAATCTTTATAGTAAAAAGAATTAACATTGAGTTAAGTAGTATATATTGAGTATATCTTCAGGGATAGTCATTTCTCAAACCTAGTTCTCTAATAGAGATTTTGTTTCTACAATGTAGCCTCCACATTTCAAAAGGAGAGTATGGAGCAGTGTGTTTTGCAGGGATTTTTTTCTTCACCCTTTTGAGGGGAGTGTCCCTATTTTGCATATAAAAGATCCCTATAGCCCTAACATTTTTTAATGTCTATGTCTTAATACTCTTTAAATGAAGTAATTACATCTGATAATTAATGAAACATTTTTTAAAAATGGGTGTCAATGGAGTGCAGTGGTGTACATCTACAATCCTAGCTGTATAAGGAGGTTGAGGCAAGAGGATTCCAAGTTGAAGGCCAACCTGGGCAACATAATGAGACCCTGTCTCAAAAATAAAAAAGAACAAAAAGCACTGGGGAATGCAGCTTAGTGTCAGAGTACTTGTCTAGCACACTCAAGCCCTGGGCTCAATCCCCAGTACTGCCAAAATAAAAAACATAACTAGGGAAAGGAATATGTAACACCACAGAAGGAGACTGGAGCCTTTTTTTTTTTTTTGGTTAAGACTCCCACTCCTTTAGCTAAGAGATATACCTCAAAAATTTCCTAGAAATAAATGGTGGGAATGGCCCTTTGCACATTAGAAGTATCTAGTATATCCTGACATTTTCTGTTCCCTCTGTTACATCATTTGAGTTTTGTGTTTTACTCAGTTAATATCTCTTTGTATGTAACTATATGATGCTTCATTAGTAAGTTGAATATATCCAAGATAATATATATGCTTGTCCTACCAGTTAATTCAGGGTGAATACCTTCAAAAACCATTATCCTACAAGGTAGTTATTTATTGAATTCACAAACTAAAGAGAATGTGTTCTGCTAAATATACTTTCCACATTCCATAGACAGAATGGATGAGTCCAGTTTTAATCTGCATTAATATATGCAATACTAGTTCAAAAATTAAAGATATTGCAAAATAAAAAGTTGCTGTTTCAGAATGATTTTAAAGATGCTTAACAAAACCAAACAATGTCATATAGTAGGCAGAAATTAAGAATATGAGGCCAGGGAGATGGCTCAGTAGAATAAACGCTTCCCTGGCAAGTGCAAGGACCTGAGTTCAGTCCCTGGTTCCACAAAAAAGAAAGAAAAAGGAAAAAGAAGAAAAAAAAAAAAAAAGAATATGGGACAGGTGAAGAACCTTGCTTATGGTACACATGTAACAGTGGGCTGTTTGTTTTCACTGAAAGCTTTAAAAGGAATACAAATTTAGTTTTGTGTTTTTATCAAATAATAAGGTCTTGTACAGCTTGACTCTAGCAAAGTATTAACTCTTGATGGCCAGTTTTCCTGATTATAAAATCAAGACTTACTATTTAACAAAAGAAATTTGATACTTTAATTCCTTATCAATGTCCAGAATTTATTTATTTATTTTATTTATTTATTTATTTTTTTTTTTTTTTTTTTTTTTTGCGGAACCGGGGATTGAACTCAGGACCTTGTGCTTGCCAGGGAAGCACTTATTCTACTGAGAAGAATTCTTTTTAATGACCTAGAATAAACCAGCATGGAGGTGGCATAATCCCAGCACTTGGGAGGCTGAGGCAGGAGAATGGCTAGAAGTTCAAACCCATCTGGTATGTAGTAAATTCAAAGCCAGCCTGAACTACACAGCAAGACCTTGTCTCAAGAATTAGTACATTAATTAAAATGTTAAAACATAAAGAACTCTAGAACAACATCATAAAGGTTTTAGCTGTAGGATAATTGAAAATCTCCATTTTAAAATAATAATAAAACATTTACTAAAAATAAAAGTAGAGACTTCTCAGACCTTTAAGTAGGTAAGATTGACTTTTGGTATACTTATGATTATTTCCGAGATAAGAATCTTTAAAGTGAATTCTGGAGCTCAAATAATGACAGTTTCAAACCATTTTACCACAATTAGCATATCTATAATTTTTGAAAAATTAGAATTTTTAAAGGTAGTAGATACTGACTGTAATAATCAAACTAGCTATTTGACCCTAAATAGATATACTCATACTTTTCATTTCATAAATTTAAGATATAAGGATAAGCCTTTTAAATATTTCCATTTTAGTATTTTCCACTTGTTTTAAGTAGTACTTGGTAGTCTACTACAACTAAAGCCTTTGCACTAATTTTACATATAGGGCTTGGGGTGTAATTCAGTGGTAGAGCACTTAACTTGCCTACCAGATAGGAAAACCTGGGCTCAATTTTTTTCTTTAATTTGGATTTCTTAAGTGTCAGAAAAAAACATTAACTTACATTTTTCTCACATTTTAGAATTTTATAGAAAAACTCATTTTTAAAGTAAATGTTATGGTATGGCTAAGTTTCAAAGGTTTTGAATTACAGCAGAATTTGGATTTATGATATTTGATTTTATAAAATAAATTACATAGTTCCATTGTATTGATATATCAATAGAGACATGAAGGTTTAGAGCGCTGATTAAAGGTGACCACTGAATACTTCCCAAGTGACATATGAGCCAAGGGTGGTCCAGCACTTAAGAGGCCCAGGAAGGAGGATCACTACTTACAGTCCAGCCTGGATTACATAGAGAGTTCAAGGCTAATTGGAGCTACCCAGTGAGACTATCTACAAAACAAAACAGCAAGGCATGAGGGTCTGCACCTGGCCTATAATCCTGGCTTTTAGAGAAGATAATGTAGGAGGCTCACAAGTTCAAGTCCCAACTGAGTAATTTAGCAAGACCCTATTTCAGAATAAGAAGGGCAAGGTATGTAGCTCAATGTGAAGTCCTTGAGTTCAATCCTTAGTATTAAACAATAGATAGTATGGTCTTTGATTTGGAATATAATGTACTGTTACACCCTAAGTCACGGGTGATCAGTAAGGACATGCATTAATAACTTAAAATTGCCTTTCCTATAATATCAATAAAATCCAGCATTAGCATTCAGCACTGTAGCATATAAACCACAGATGTTTCTTATTATCTTCATTCTCTTAACTAGTTCTAGACAGGTGGTGGTAAATCTTATATGGGACATGTGTTATTTTAAGACAAAACATGTTAATGTAGAGGTTTTTTTTCTAAACTAAAAATCTCAGTGTTCAAGTTTCATTGCACTGTTGGTACTTTACAATAAATAAGTGGGTTTGGGGTTGTAGTTTGGCTCTTGGTCTCTAAAAGGTTTGCCATCTGATTAGATTCACTCTCTTTTCCTAAAGTATATATGTTATGCTTTATTTTGGATTACGCTTTAGATCTTTACTTTGAAGATATTTATGTCCTATCATATAGTTAATTTTAGTACCTTTGTTTCTTTTTTTAAGTGTTACTGTTAAGAATTTTTAGCTCTTAATTCACATTTGATAGGGCACGTTATAAATTTATGTAATGTCTCCAGTTTTTTTTTCTGAGAATGGAACTCAGGATGTCACACTTGCCAGGCAGAACCTGCACCACTGAGCTAAATCCCCAACTCCAAAACTTAATAGTGGCACAGAGCAGAGTCTTCATATTCTGACATTAGAATTTAAAGTGATAGTGGCACATGCCTGTAATCCCAGCACACAGGAGGCTGAGGTAGGAGGATCGTGACGAGTTCAAAGCCACCTTGGGCTACAAAGTGAGTTGGAGGCCAGCCTGAAAGGCATAGTGAGACCCTGTCTAAAAAAGAAAAGAAAAAGAAAAAAATACCTTTGGAATGATTTTAAATAGTTCTGGAATACTTAAATGTGGACCAAAAAGTCAGTTTTGTGAGTGTTGCCATCAACTAACCAACATCCCTCATTTTTAACCCAACTGTCAGTATGAGAAAGAAACAAAGGTCAGAAATGCCAGATTGTTA